TGATGAGGGCATCGGTGGTCTTGGAAATGATGTTATTGGAAACAGAGCCGATGAGGGCGCAGAGGGTCGTGATGTGATAGCCAATAGTTTTTCTTTTAGACTTTTTGTGTATTTTTTCCGGCATCTTCAAGAGCCTTTATAAAGAACTCTTTATTTACATATGGAATTTTAAACCTGATTTTTGCACATTCTTCCATTCCAGTGATTTATTTCTGCACTTTGTTTGCTCTTTTTATTGTCGTCGTCTTCTAGATGGTTGTAGCCTTGGGGACGAATATTTATGGGCTATATCTGCCCTTTGTTTACATAGGTCGAGTATGTCTCTTCATTTAGATTTGGATGATAGGTGTTGTTTGAACTTGGTTGATATTGAACATTTTTTCAAGTTATGGCCAAGGGCCGGTAGGTGTTTGTTCAAACTGGGTCAAACTTAACCTTTCCTTAAAGTGTGGGCCGAGGGCCGATAGGCGTTGTTCGAACTTAACCTTTTGTTCAGGCATGACCGAGGACCGAAAGGTATTTGTTCGAACTGGGTCAAACTTAACGTTTTGCTAAGGTGCAGCCGAGGGCCCATAGGTGTTTGTTCGAGCTGGGTTGAACTTAACCTTTTGTTAAGGTGTGGCCGAGGGCTGATAGGTATTATTCGAGTTGGGTTGAACTTAACCTTTTATTAAGGTGCGGCCGAGGGTCGATAGGGGTTATTCGAGTTGGGTCAAACTTAACCTTTTGTTAAGGTGCGGCCGAGGGCCGATAGGTGTTGTTCGAGTTGGGTCAAACTTAACCTTTTGTTAAGGCGGTTTAGATAAATTTAAGTTTCTATTACTTTGAAGGTGTTTCTCTGATTACAAAATTAGAGAAAGTTACAAACTTTGGGCATTGAATGGCATCCCAGTCCTAGTCCCGGTCTATATAGTCCCTTCATTTTTTGACTTGGAGAGTGTTGAGGAGTCGGGCAATGAAAGAAAAACCAGTCCCTTCTTCGCATATTTTGACTCGAAGTGTCCCCCTCATTGCCTCATTAAAAACCTCCTTGAGAAAACCCTAATGGGACAAAACTCAAGTGGGGGAAAAAGAGTACGACTTGAGGGGCGCTTCTTCCTTTTAGAAATTGAAGTATTTGAGGTGGCTGATGTTCCAATTGTTCGGTAATTATTTTCCTTCCATTGTCTCTAGTTGGAATGATCCCTTATTTGCTTTGGCTATAATTTTGTACGGACCGTCCTAGTTCGTTTCCAGTTTGCCTTCTTTTGGGTCTCTGCTTGCTTGGGTTTTGGCTTTGAGTACATAGTCTCTGACTTTAAGCGGCCAAACCTTTTCCTTCTTGTTGTAGTAACGTTCCGCCTGCTACTTTTTGGCGACCATTCTTATCTACGCCATATCTCTTCGTTCGTCCAAAACATCGAGCTCTTGCATTTTACTCTCATCATTTCTAGTGTCGCTTTCATGGGTGTACCTTAAGCTGGGCTCTCCAACCTCGTCTGGTATAATTGCTTCGGTCCCATAAACCAAAGAATAGGGCGTCTCTCATGTGCTTGTCTTGGACGTGGTTCTATACGCCCACAATACTTTAGGGAGTATTTGCGGCCACAGTCCCTTACGTCTTCGAGTTTTTCCTTCATGATGTTTAATATCGACTTGTTGGAGGATTTTGCTTGCCCGTTACCCGCTGGGTGATAAGGGGTTGAAAGTATCCTCTTAATATGCCATTTTTTGATAAATTCAGCAGTTTTCTTTCCCGTGAATCGGGGTCCGTTATCGCAGCTGATTTCTTTGGGTAGACCGAATCGGTAGATGATGTTTTTTCATATGAAGGCGATTGCCTCTTGCTCGCATATTTGGGCGAACGCTCCTGCTTCTACCCATTTAGAGAAATAGTCAGTTAAAACTAAAGGAAATTATACATTAACTCGCCCTGCTAGGAGGTGGCCCACGATGTCCATTCCCCACTTGATGAACGGCCATGAAGAGGTGACTGAGTGAAGATGTTCGCCTGCTTGGTGAATTATTGGGGCGTACTTCTGACATTGTTCGCATTTCTTTATAAATTTCGAGGCATTGTTTTTCATGGTAGGCCAGTAGTATCCTGCCCGTATGAGACACCTAACGATCGCTCGATCGCCGGAATAAGCGCTGTAATGGCCTTCATGAACTTCTTCGAGGACGTACTGGGTTTGGTTTGGACCCCAACATTTTGCCTGGGGGTCTCCGTATGTTTTCTTGTATAAGTCGTTATGAAGGAGTTATATTTGGCTGCATGCATTCTTAGTTTTTTTGGCTTCTTTATTGCCGTTTGGGAGTATGTCGTCCTGCAAGTAGGTGATAATACAATTGTGCCAATCCCAAGTTAAACTTACAGACCTTACCTCGATTTGGTCCAACAACGAGTTGATGAGGTGGACTACACTTTTATTCCCGGTCATGATGCTTTAGGTGACTGCGGCCAATTTGGTGACACTGTCCGCTTCAACATTCTGTGCTCGGGGGATCTGATCGAGCTGGCATTCGTCGAACTTGGGTAGCAACTTACAAATCTCGGACTGATATTTTTGTAACCTTTGTTATTTTATTTGGAAATTCCCTATGACTTGGTTGACTACGAGCTGTGAATTACAACGGAGCTTCAACCGCTTCCCTTCATATTTGAGTGCTAGTCTCAATTCTGCAATTAGGCCTCATACTCGGCCTCGTTATTTGTCATATCTGGGAATTTTTATGGACTGACAAATTACTTTGTCGGTAGGGACCTCGAGTACGAGTCCCAGTCCGGATCCAGAAGCATTGGATACACAATCTGTGTATAGGACATAGATGTCTTGTGTTTGGAAAGAAGCTTGGATGACTTCCGTCTTGACCTCGGGCATTATCTTTGCACTGAAGTGTGCGACGAAGTCAGCGAGTACTTGCGACTTTATTGTTGTTCGCGGATGATATGTGATATTATGCTCGCTTAGCTCGATGGCCCACTTGGCCAGCCTCCCCGATAATTTGGGTCTATGTGAAATGCTTCTTAGAGTAAAGGTGGTAACGACCGAGATAGGGTGGCACTAGAAATAGTGTCTGAGCTTTCGTGAAGTTACGACCAGTGCCAGGGCCAGTTTTTTCGAGGTGTGGGTACCTCGTCTCAGAGTCGACAAGTGTTTTGCTAATGTAATAAATGGAAGATTGTGTACCTTTACTGTCTCAGATCATGACTGCACTTACTGCCACTTTGAAGACAATGAGGTATTCCCTGGGTTCGGGCTTCGAGAGCAGAGGTGGTGTCGACAGATACGCCTTTAGTTCTCACAGAGCTTTTACGCAGTCGGGCGTCCATTCGAGGACGTTATCTTTTTTGAGCATGCCAAAAAACCTGTAACACCTATCAGATGACCGCGAGATAAATCTCGATAGGGCGACGATTCGACCAGTCAACCTTTGGACTTGCTTCTTAGTAGTCAGTTGCTCTGGTATCCATTTGATAACTTTAATTTGGTCCGGGTTGACTTTGATCCCTCGTTGTGACACTAAGAAACCTAAAAACTTCTTCGAGGCTATGCTAAATATGCATTTCTCTGGGTTTAGTTTCATTCCGATAGTATGTCGAAAGCTTTCTTCAAATTATCGGTATGGTCCTCCGTCTTTACGAATTTGACCAACATGTTATCTATGTATACTTCCATGGTCTTGCCAAATTGATCTTTGAATATTTTTGTGACCAATCTTTGATATGTGTCTCCTGCATTCTTCTACCAGAATGGCATGATCCTATAACAATATGCTCATCGGTGGGTGATGAACGTAATTTTGTCCTGGTCCTCTTCTTCCATAAGTATCTGGTTATAACCCGAGTACGCGTCCAGGAAACTCAGCAGCTCGTGCCCGGCTGTTGCATCGATGGATTGGACAATGTGTGGCAACGGGAATGAATTCTTCGGGCATGCTTTGTTCAAGTCTGTGAAGTCTACACACATCCTCCATTTCCTGATTTTATTTTTGACCATCACTACGTTAGCGATCCACTTTGGGTATTTCGAATCCCTGATGGAGCCATTGTCTAATAGGTCCTAGAAAATAGTATGAGCACAACATGTACTACTAGCATACTAAAATACGACACTGACCGACTATACTTACACACAGAACATAGTAGAAAAATGCTCAACTACCTACTAACCTTCAACCCTAATGCTCTCCCTCCATACCTTCCTATCAAGGGCCATGTCCTCGATGAGCTGGAGTCACGACATGTTTTGCATGATCACCTCGCCACGATACTTCTTAGGTCGCCATCTACCTCTTCTCATACTCGTCAGAGCCAACCGCTCGCACCTCCTAACCGGGGCATCTAGGCTTCTCTTATGCACGTGCCCAGACCATCTAAGCCTCACTTCCCGCATTTTATCTTCCATGGGAGCCATGCCCACCCTTACCCGAATATCTTCATTCTTAATCTTATCTAACCTCGTGTGCCCGCACATCCATTTCAACACCCTCATTTCTGTTACTTTCATCTTCTGGATATGGGCAATCTTGACTGGCCAACATTCTGACCCATACAACATGGCCAGTCTAACCATCGCTCTATAGAACCTGCCTTTAAGTTCCAGGGGCACCTTCTTGTCACACAAAATGCCATATGCTAACCTCCATTTCATCTAACCTGCCCCTATACAGTGCATGACATCCTCGTCGATCTCCATGTTCCCCTGAATAATCTACCCAAGGTACTTAAAACTTCCTTTCTTGGGGATGACTTGTGAATCAAGCCTCATGTCGATGTCCACTCCCCTCGTGACATCGCTGAACTTGCACTCCAAGTACTCAGTCTTAGTCCTGCTCAACTTGAAATCTACAGACTCAAGGGTCTGTCTCCAAACCTCCAGCCTCTCGTCAACACCTCCTCGCATCTCATCAATCAGAACTATATCATCAGCAAATAACATACACCATGGCACCTCTCCTTAAATATAGTGCGTCGATGCGTCCATCGTTAGTGCAAATAAGAAAGGGCTAAACGCATATCATTGGTGTAGCCCCATAACCACCAAAAAATGCTCCGAGTCTCCTTCTACTATCTTAACCCGAGTCTTGGCTCCATCATACATGTCCTTAATCACACTAATATATGCTACCAGAATACCTTTTACCTCCAAGCATCTCCAAAGAACATCTCTTGGGACCTTGTCGTACGCTTTCTCTAGGTCAATAATCACCATGTGCAAATCCTTCCTCATATCCCTATATTGTTCCACCAACCTTCGGATAAGATGGATAGCTTTCATAGTTGAACGATCCAGCATGAATTCAAATTAGTTCTCAGATATAGACACCGACCTCCTCACCCTCGCTTCCACCACCCTCTCCCACACTTTCATAGTATGACTAAGCAGCTTGATACCCCTATAGTTGTTACAATTATGGATATCACCTTTGTTCTTGTACAAAGTAATCATCATACTCCATCTCCATTCCTCTGCCATCTTCTTCATCTTAAAAATAACATTGAATAGCCCGATCAGCCTCTCGAGGCCCTCTCTACCTCCAAACCTCCAAAATTCAACCGGAATCTCGTCCGGCCTAGTCGCACTGCCCCTGTTCATCTTATGCATAGGGCCCATGACCTCCTCAACCTTAATGCACCTACAGTACCTAAAATCACGGCGACTTTTGGAGTGATCCAAATCACCCAACACAATGTATCTGTCCCCATCTTCATTCAGAAGTTTATGAAAGTAAGTCTTCCATCTCCTCTTAATCATAGCCTCATCCATCAAAACTCTGCCTTCTTCATCTTTGATGCACCTCACTTGATCCGGATTACGAGCCTTTCTCTCTCTCGCCTTGGCCAACCGAAATAACTTCTTATCCCCTCCTTTCTCCCCCAACTCTTCATACAAATGACTAAAAACTGCATTTTTGGCATCAGTGACCGCTAGCTTCGCCTCTTTCCTAGCCTTCTTATACCCTGCTTTGTTCGCTCTTCTCTCCTCCTCGTCTATACTCTCTACTAACTTCAAGTACGTCGCTTTCTTCGCTTTCACTTTTCCTTGAACCTCTTCATTCCACCACCAATCTCCTCTGTGCCCGCCAGAGTAACCCTTTGAGACCCCTAACACCTCCCTCGCAACCTCCCTAATACAGTTCGCCGTCATCTACCACATATCACTTGTATCCCCATTACTCCTCCAGGCCCCCATAACCCTCAACTTCCTCTCCAACTCTTGTGCTTTATCCTTAGACAAGGCTCCCCACATGATCCTCGGGCGACCCCATACAACCCACTTCTTCCTCTTCATCATGATGCCGACGTCCATCACCAATAGCCTATGCTGCGATGCGGGGGACTCACATGGGATAACCTTGCAATCCTTGCACATGCCTTTATCACCCCTCTTGAGGAGTAGATAATCAATATGAGTCTTAGCCACCGTTGATTTGGAAAGTAACCAAATGTTCATCCCTCTTGGGAAAGCAAGAGTTCTCTATTACCAACTTAAAATCCTTAGCGAAGTCCAACAAAGTCGTACCTCCTCCGTTCCTATTCCCAAATCCGAAACCGTCATGAACCTCTATGTAACCCCCAATGGACCTCCCAATATGCCTATTAAAATCCCCTCCTATAAACAACTTCTCAGTGGGCGGAATACCACGCACAACCTCATCTAAATCCTCCAAGAAGTGCCTCTTAACCTCCTCATCTAAGCCTATTTGGGATGCGTAAGCGTAACGACTCGATCGATCATTTTGAGAACTAAAGTCCCGTTCGGTAGCATAAAGTCTCGAGCAGTTTCTTAATGTGTATTATGATTTACGTGTGTGGTCGAGATTGGTTTTCAGATGATTCAGGTTTAAATTGAAAGAACAATTCCTATTGTGAAGTTAAATGAAAGAGTCAACATGAGTTTAACCTTTGAACAAACGACTCCCGAATGGAAATTTTATGGTTCCAATAGTTTCGTATGGTGATTTTTTACTTAGGCGTGTGCCCGGATTTGGATTTGGAGGTGTGTAGGGTAATTTGAAGCATTTCAGCGAAATTGGAAAGTTGAAGTTTTTGGAAGGTTGAGAGGTTTGACCGAGAGTTGATTTTAGTGATATCGGATTAGGAATGCGATTCCGAGAGTTGGATTAACTTTGTTATGTCATTTGAAACTTGCATGAAAAAATTTGACGTTGTTCCGGGTTGATTTGATGTGTTTCGGCATGGGTTTTAGAAGTTGGAATATTCGAAATTTTATAAGTTCGATTCATAGTGCGATTTGTAGTTCCGACATTTTTTGAGGTGATTTGAGACCTCGAGCGGGTCCGTATTAGTTTATGAAACTTGTTGGTATGCTTGGATGGGGTCCCGGGGGCCCCAGGTGTGTTTCAGACGAGTTTCAGATGTTTTTCATGCTTGTGATTAGGTATGGTTCTGGTGCTTCGCACCTGCAACATTTTGGAGCTCAGGTGCGGCTCCGCTTCTGCGTGATCCTAGTTGCTTCTGTGATTATACTGGCCTGGGAGCTCGCTTGCTTCTTCGGAGGTTGGCACGCAGGTGCGAAGGCCGCTTTTGCGGTCCACCGATCGCATATGCGAAGTGGTTCGTTTCTGCGCTCCTTTTGGCGGTTTTGCGATGTCGCTGGTGTGACTTCATTTTTCCTAGATGCGGACGTAGACCTGGTAAGTTGAGTTCACAGATGCGAATATTTGCTCGCAAATGCGAGGCCGCAGTATGACTTTCCTACTCGCAAATGCGAAGGGCGCTGGGCAGAACACTTATATTTCGAGGGTGTGATATTTTTAACATATTTTGAGTTTTAGACCTCGGTTTTGGGAGATGTTTCATGGGTTTTTCAAGCAACTCATTGGGGTAAGTGTTCTCTACCATAATCTTATTATATTTTATGAATACATTGATATTTTCATCATTTAATTAGTGAATTAAGTTGGAAATTTAGGAAAAAATTGTAAAATCTTTCAAAATGTAAAATGATGATTTGAAGGACGAATTAAGGTCGGAAATTGATAATTTTGGTATGGTTGAACTCGATATCGAATGGGTGTTCGATTTTTATAATTTTGGTCGGGTTCGAGACGTGGGCCCGAGTTGACTTTGTGGAGCGATTTTTCAATTATTAGCTAAGATCATTATTTCATTATTTAAATTACTTTCATATAGTTATAATTATAGTATGAAATTGTTTCGGGTAGATTCAAGTCGTTCAAAGTTGGAAATAGAGGGAAAAGGCCTTCTAATTGATTGATTGAGCATGGTTTGAGGTAAGTATCTTGCCTAACTTTGTGTGGGGGAAACTACCCCTTAGATATTGGTGCTAATTGTGTCATGTGAAGTCCGTGTACGCGAGGTGACGAGTACGCGGTTGGGCTTATTTGTGGAAAGTTGATATTTTAGGTCTCTTAGGTTCTTATGCTCATTAGATATGAAGTTGTTTTGGTATGTTAAGTTCCCCATTTACTAGTTTCATCTCTACATGTCTTAATTGGAATTAATTGCTTTCATTTTCCACTCTTATTGCCTATTTGACTATTGTGTGCCTTAACTGAAGTTATTGCCTCTTTGATTGCCATGCTATCCTTTCCTAATTGCTTATCCTTAATTAAAACTATTATTATATCTTCTATAACTGTTTATCCTTAATTTAGGTTATGATTATCTTTTCCGTTGCTTATCCTTAATTGAAGTTGTTGTACCTCTTTCGTAATTGCTCAATCCTAAATGAAGCTAGTTATCCTTGATCGTAGTGGCCTCATCCTTATTTGGAATTATTGACTCATGTTATCTCGTTGATGTCAGATTGTACTTTTGTAGAATCATTTGTTACATATGATTTCTCCCTTGTTCAGCTATTCTTATTGAAACTAGTATTTTCTATTATATTTATTCTTTGTAAGCACGTTCTACCGCTTCTTTGTGGATTAAAGCTCTTGAGTTGATTTACTTGTCGTATTATCGTGCTATTGTTGTTGTTGTTGTTGTTGTTATTATTTTACTCAGTTTGTTGAACCGAGGGCTATGCATGGTTATGGTATTGACATTGTTTCGATGAAATGTTGTGGAATATGGGCACATGTTGTAGAATATGGGCACATGTTGTGAAAGTCATTCTATTGTGATGTTTTGGTTTTGGCACGTGATATTGTTGGAAGGTTTTGTTCGGGTGTTTGCACGAGGTTTCTGTCATGCTATTGTTACTATTGATATTTGCACATGTCGCGTGACAAGGCGGGCTATATATATGGGTTTGCGCATATGGCGAGACAAGGTGGGAATATTATTATGCGCATGCGGCGAGACAAGGTGGGAATGTTATTATGCGCGTGCGGCGAGACAAGCCACGCATTTACTTTATTATTGCGCACGTGGCGAGACAAGGTGGGCTATGCCGGGGAATGATTTGTGATGACTTGTGATGGCCTAGGAGCATTGTTATTGTTGTTATTTGAGTAGTGGTGTACCTATCCTGTGTGAGTTATACCGTGTACATTTCGTGGTGATCGTTTCTTTTGTGTCATTCATTGTCTCTACTCTTACTTGTTAACTTAAATTGTGGTAGAACACTTGTACAAGCATTCACGTAAATAAATCACCCATATCGGTTAAGAAGATGAGTCCTGATGTTATTGAACATTTACATGTACTCTCGTGTACTTGCCTTCTGTGTGAGAGTTATCTTGTTGGCACGTGAGTGGTCCGTGCAGATATTAGATATTGTCACTCTCTTGGCACGTGAGTCGTTCGTCCAGTTATGAATTTGTAATGTGGGAACAAGAGGTCAAGTGATTAGGGTTCAAGAATTGGGACCCGTGACTTGTGATTATGAGGTTTCGTACCTCGTAGAAATTCCTGAATAGATCTGGTGTAAAAGCGGTTGATCTTGTTGAGTTGTTACTTGTTCTCCCTTATTTATGTTCATCGGACTTAGACTGTATCAAGCTTACTCTATAACATTATTAGTTGTTTGCTTCTTGTTGCTAATTATTATTTCTAGTATTTCATTGCGAGTATTGTTTTGTCTTCCTTACCATGCTTAGCTTTATATTAACTATGTTTCGCCGTTAGTTCACCTTCATACTTGTTCAGGTTGTAGTCCATTAGGTGTCTTGACTGTCTCTCATCACTACTCTACCGTGGTTAGTCTTGATACTTATTGAGTACCGCTGTGGTGTACTGATAGTACACTTCTGCATATTTTGTGCAGATCCAGGTATTTCGGAGTTGGTCGATCGCTAGCTAGCTGTACGGATCTTGCTGTGGCGACTCAAGGCAAACATGTTGCCGCATTCGAAGGCCTCGGAGTCAACTTCTGATATTGTACTTGCACTGTTTTGTCTTTATTTCGAAACAATTGTATTTGTAGGTTTTCTAGCAAACTCATTAGAGTTTATGACTCGTACTACCGGTTTTGGGAATTGTAAGTTGTGTAATAAGGTTATATTTCATAATTATTAATTGTTGGTCAAATTCATCCTACAGAGGGAAATTTGGGCCGTGACAGTAAGCGCTAATGACATTTAGGGCGAGCTCTCCAACCACCAACTTAATCTCCATAAGTCTATCATTCACCGCCTAACATCAACCACCGACTCTCTAAGATCCCTATCCACCAAAATACCCACTCCGTTCCTACCCTTTCTGCTACCTGAGTACCACAGTTTAAACCCATCTGCGTCCTTCGCCCTCGTTACTACCCACATAGTGTCCTGAACACATGCTATATTGACCTTCCTCTTCTGGAGAATCTTAGCTAACTCTATAGACTTATCCGTCAGCGTCCCTATGTTCCACTGTCCAATTCTTAACCTACATGTTCCCTTGGTCCCTTGAAACAAATGGCATTAAGGAATAAGAGTGAGTTATTTGTGACAAAATATTAGAAGGAGAATATGCACACAAAATAGGAGTGTATGTAATACTTCCATTAGTAAATACGTATATATTTCAAGCAACTTTAGAGTAAGAATTGTAAGTTTTTTTCTTTCTTTCTAATATATAGAATTTCAAATAACCAGAAAATATATTAAATATTTGGATTATTTTGGATAAGTAAATAGTGAGTAAATTTCATGGGTGGTCATTCAACTTTGTGTTCATTACGCAAAAGTCATTTTCTTCATTTTGTTACGTAAAAATTATTCAACTTTGTGTTCA